ACGCAAAACCCCCCCAACAAAACCTAAAAAAAAGATGATCTGGTTCCCCCCTCCCCCCAAAAAACCCCCAAAAACAAACAAACAAACTGACATCAGTCTAAAAAAAATTGATAAACGTACAAGAAAACAGTGATCAAATTATGAAAAGGAAAATTAAGAAAAACAAAAGATTCAAACAAACTGTCTCACTTGTTGAGAGCGAATGAAACAGAGGAAAACTTCTGGAAGTCATCCACCTTAGTCTGTGAGTCGTTGATGAATCTGAGCTGTTCTCTGTGTGCCCTGATCACGCCCACGCCGGACAGAGTCTCGCTGAAGTGGGCGAACACAGGGGAGTGTTTGGTGGATGCCAGACGGCGCAGCTGGCACGACGCACGGATGTACAGTTGCTGTGAGGGCGGTATAGAGACGGGTAATTTATTCAGTCACTACCTTATACCGGGTGCCCATTGTGTTTTGGTGTTTGTGCTTTCTTTGTTGTGTGTGGTCAGCTGTAAGTCTACTTTTGCCTTGGTGAGGTGCCACGGAGGGAGGTCGGGGGAAAGAATTTAATGTTAGGTATACTGTTCATTGGAGATTCTGAAAGTCTTTTTACATTTGATTTATGAGGTTTACATTTAAGGGTGAATTTGAAAATTTCAAAATTAGGAAGGGCAGCAGTGATTACTTGATTATATAGACGCTTCGTCACTATCAACAACTCTACCCAAACCTCCAATCATACCCCCCCCCTCACCTCCAAATACACACGCTGAAGTGGGCGAACACAGGGGAGTGCTTGGTGGATGCCAGACGGCGCAGCTGACACGACGCACGGATGTACAGTTGCTGTGAGGGAGGTAAAGAGACGGGTAATTTATTCAGTCGCTACCTTATACCGGGTGCCCATTGTGGATGGGATCTGGTTGGGTCCGGTTGGGTCGGTTTGATCGCCCAACTCGTCACCTGAAAACAAATGTGTTTGTGTTTGACGTGACGAGTTGGGCGATCGGTTTGTGTCAAAATAGCCGCTATGCACCCTTAATCTGGCTCGCAAACCGACTCGACCCAATTGTGCCAATGGGCACCTGATATTAGAACTAAAAAGTTGTATCTGCTCAGTACCTAGTTTTGAGAAATTTTAAGCCAAAAACTTTGAGTTTCACAGCATGTCAAGCTTTTTCCAACGCAATTCATTGAATAACTTGAAAACAGCTCCGAATAATCATACGATTTTGATAACCGATAAAAATAGAACAGATAGAACATAAATTTTGTCCTCTGACCTCAAGGCTTTAATTTAATAACTCAAAACTGTTAAAAATGTCAGAAAGAACTGTGTAATTCTGAGGTAGTGCAGTGTTTAAGGCCATTGGCCCACGTCACTTAATGCATACAACCTTTACTGATTATGAGAGACTTCCATGAAAGCAGCATAAGACGACACACGTAATCAATAACATTTTATAAACGTTTTGTGTTGTTACAAAGTTTTCCACCATAAAATAGTAAAGGTAGTAGATATACCTTTTTCATGGGTTAACACTTACCAGTCACACAGCCAGCATTACAAAATACCCCATCTGGTCACCCAGCAAGGAGAGTGACTGCACCGAACTTCTCGGGCCTGGCGCTGAAATGCGCCAGGTGATCAGAACGAATAATTTTCACTAGTGCATTATTGTGCCAAGTGACGGCAAAGTGTTAACAATTGTAGATTTTTAAATCTCTTGGCAAAGTTAGGACGGGCGGAATGAATAAACTCTTTTGATAGGCAAAGCTTGAACAATAAAAAAGATAATGAAATTCCTCCTCAATTTATGACTGTTAAACATCTCACATATGACTGAATTTTTTATAAATTTCCATTGATAAAGATTATCATTCAGTGACAGGCTGTGAGAGGAAGGGAAGAGAAGGAGAGGTGGGGAGGGTAGTTATTAAGTAAAAGTCTACTTCAGCCCCCTACCCATCACATTCCAAAAATATATTCGAAATCACCTTGCTCGCATGACATCACAGCTATCTCAGTTTTGGCCCCCTCAGTAGAGGAAAAACCAATATTAAATTATATTTTAAGTTGAGTAAATTTTTAATTCAGGCTGGGTGAGGCAATTTGTCTTTTAACAATAATTATTTCAATATCAGTGAAGAAAAATGATAAGTCACAAACACAGCAAAATCATTACAGCACAGACACCAGTCTACGTCACTGGAACAACTCACCTGCAGCAGGAACAGAGCAAAGACAATGGGCACGATGAAGGCGATGAAGATGGGCATGGAATAACCGATGACGACCATAGTTGCCAGGGCACCTATCCCTGCTTCCAGGATTGTCTCAAACTCCATGGTTATGTTGCTATCAAGAACCTCAAGGTCTTGGCTGAAATGAACAAAGTTGAAGGACATTTCAATTGCTACGATTAAATAAAGTGAGACACAACATGAGGTAAAAGGGATGAGTTCAGATGTGGTCTGTGTAATATTCTTCGGTTTGTGGGTACAAACAGATTTAAAGAGAGTGAAGAAATATATGCTTGAAAGGGCTCTTTGTTTTATTTTTTGTCCTCTAGTACACTGAAACCGAAAATTGACTACTGAGTAAAAGAAAAATACAGTCTAAATCCCGATACGTTACGTAAAAGTTATAACATGTGTTATGTAAGGTACATTATTCCACAATCTGTAGGCCTACTTACGTGCTTTTGAGAAATTCAATATCTTGGTTAAAAGAAACTAAATATACTGTGTACAAAATGCCAAGCACCATTTTCAAGCAGAAAGATACAGTAAGATAAAAAGAGATATCAGGTCAGATGAGTCCCGAAATAGATCCTGCTATAAACAATTTCAAGGTCTTTGCATAATTAATTACAGTACTTCATTTTCAAATCAAACATTACCAAGCCTTCGAAGGGTGAAACGATATTGTCAAGACCAGAAAGCCTCCTGGCCAAGTAAGGAAATGCGTCATTATAAACTTAGTCACTCATTTTCAACATCATTATTATTATCATCATCATCATCATCACTGACATTATTATTATTATTATTTATTCTTTTCCCTCTTATTATTATCATTATCATATTTATTATTATTATTACTATCATTATCATCAAAGCAAGGGCCATGCTTTCCAAAATGATATAATAGGCTAATGTGTGTCTAATCTAATTAGAAATGCAACATTGAAGAAACAAATCTAAACAAAACATTAAATTCATAGTGATGGCCAATACTACCCCTCCCCCTCCCCTTATCACCAAAGCAGAAATTTGATTTTTACCTGAATCGGTTGAGAATGCGTCCCATAGGTGTTGTGTCGAAAAAGCTCATGGGAGCATGCATCACACTCTCAAGCAGCTCATTGTGTAGCTTTCTTGAGGCTGCAATGTGACGAATCTGTAGTACAACGGCGTACGCGACAACGAAGAAAGCTGGGAATTCACACAAAACAAACAAAAAAATAAACAGTCAATAAAATGAAAAAACAAACAACAGCATGTATATGATCTAATATGAAATTACAATCGCGCACTCAAGAACACGACTGGACATCCACAGACACTTGTATACACACTCATGCACACTCTCCCTCACACACTCTCTCTCTCTCTCTCTCTCACACACACACACACACACACACACACACACACACACACACACACACACACACACACACACACACACACACACACACACACACAGCATTATATGTGTGTATGTATGCATGTATATATATGTTTATATATATATGTATATTATATATATATATATATATATATATATATATATATATATATATATATATTTATATATATATATATTTATATATGCATAGCATTGCACGCGGAGGACCACAATGAATTGGTGTGTGGGGAGGTTTTCATCAATTATCTCAGTCTGTCTGCTGGTTTAGCGTTCTCAGCCTGAATTGGCCCAGACTGGCAGAGTCAAAGTATGACGCCTTCTGTATAATCTGACTGCGTCATAGGGGGCATAAAACATTAACAATCATTATATCATGTACACATATGGGAAGGAACGTTGGTAGGTAATTAGGCAGGAGAGAAGGTTGGTTTGAAAGTGGCTAAATACTTAACTAGCTAGCTAGCTAGGTAAGTAGGTGCTTTGGTAGGTAGGTAGGTCGGCAGATAAGTAGGTCAGCAGGTCGGTAAGTAACTAGGTAGGCATGTACTTACTCGTACATTGGTAAGTAGGTAGGTAGTAGCATTGTGATTGTTCTTGATCAGTGTCTTTGTGTACAGTTTGTCATCGGAAAATATTAATAAAATTCGTAAATATGGAGAAAATACCAGTCTTTTCTTTTCTTCATTTCTTACTTTGCAAAACCCCCAGCGCTGAGTAGACACCCAGGAAGTAGTTGTTCTTGTCTCGTCTCTCCTCACTGTCAGCCGGGAATGAAGTGAAGTTGGCAAGGTCAAGGTCATCATTCCAATTGGTCAACCAGACACTGGCCACACCACTCATGGCTTGGTAACAGGTGATCAGGGCTATAAGTAGCACTGCGTACAGGGGCCCAAAACCTTTGCACAGTTCCCAGTACACGGCCCATTTTACCTGGTTAAATGGCAGGTTTTGATGTAAAATAGGACTCCTATTTTTTTTTTGTTTATTCCCATGGAAAATTAGAAATTGTCACAGGTCAAACATCTTTTTCAACACTGTAAGGTCATATGGGATACAGGACCCCCAAATTAAACGTCTATCTTCAAGCTGATAGGACCAAACCAGATGGGTGGAGAGCCTTACTCCACCCCCCCCCCCAGAACAATACTAGTTTAGAATGCTCCATTGTGCATTCAAAACCAGGGCTCTCCACTCCATAGTCCAGCATGATACCAAATGAGCTAAACGTGTGCCCATCCCAAGGTTTTTTCTTTAATTGTTAGATCTGTAATAGACATCTACTGTCATGGTTAGTCATTCATTTCTCTGTTCGGGTGTGCTTAAAAACTTATCTATCAGGTCTTTTTGTGCATCCCATTTGTTAAAATTCAGTAAGTTATTTTTTAGACATCAGTTTACAATATGATAATACATGAACAGGAAGCAACATCCTTAGGCATCAAACCATATACGAGGGACGTCCAGAAAGTAAGTACCGTTTTCACATCTCTCTGAAATGGGTTAGGATATTCTCGATTTTGCACAACAGTGAGTTGATGTATTCAATACTGAACAGGAAAGAGCCCTCAGCTTCCATCATGCCATTGTAAACAACAATATACAACGTTTTTAAAACACCTCACCCACTTTTTCCCCCCGCCAGTTTACACTGCCACATTTTGTATCAAACATCCTACACCCTTTTGAACCATCAACATGTCTTCCAAGATTGAAAATTATGCTGACTGTGAAATTCGGTCTGTTATTCGTTTTCTGACTGCAAAGAACACGAAGCCTAGTGACATTCATAGGCAGATTTCAGAAGCGTATAGTGAAAATGCAATGGGCAAAAGCATAGTGCGGAAATGGTTTCACATGTTCAAAGAAGGAAGAGAAGAACTAAACGTGCATGATGAATCCAGGAGTGGGCGTCCATCTTTGGTCAGTGATGATTTGATAAACAAAGTTGACCTTAAGGTAAAGGAAGACAGGCATTTTACCCTTTCCTCACTCTCTTCGAACTCTCCTGAGACTTCAAGGTCGCTTCTGCATGAAATCGTCACTGACCATTTGGGTTATCGAAAGGTGTGCTCGCGCTGGGTACCCAAGCAGCTGAAACAAGCAATACGGACCAAACGGCTGCAAGCGCATTGGCATTCCTGATACGTTAAATTGACAAAGGAGATGACTTTCTTACTCATATTGTGACCGGGATAAAACATGATTGCCCCACTCCACGCCCGAGTCAAAGCAGCAGTCGATGCAGTGGAAAAATACGGATTAGCCCCAGCTAAAAAAAGTTCAAGCAGGCCACATCAGGAACAAAAGTCATGTGTACAGTGTTTAAGGACAGGAAAAGAGTTCTTTTAGTAGAATTTTGGGGAAATGGGATGACAATTAACTCTGATGTGTACTGCAACACATTTAAAAAACTGCGTAGCGATTCAAAACAAAAGACGCGGAATGCTTAGCGACAGCGTTGTTCTGCTTCAAGACAATGCAACTCCTCACAAGTCTGCACAGACCCAAAACCTGATCGCCTCCTCCGGATGGGAATAGTTGAAACACCCATCGTAGAGCCCAGACCTGGCTCTGAGTGACTTTCATCTGTTGCTGCATTTGAAAAAGTTTTTGGCTCTGACGCTGATCTCACAGGAGAGACTCGACATTGGCTGACATCGCAGGCGGCAGCTTTCTACAATGCGGGCATTTTGAAGTCGTCCCACGCTACGACAAATGTCTCAACAGTTCTGGTGACTATGTGGAGAATTAGTCACATATATATGAGGTATTAAAAAATAAATGGTTTTGATTGGGAAAATTATTTCTTTTATATTTATTTTAAAACGTTACTTACTTTCTGGACGTCTCTTGTACTTATATCGTTGTGAACTGGTTGATGATTTAGCACAGTGTGATTTTTTTTTATCGCAAAGGTTCTACATCCACATTGACACAATTTAGTAGGAAACATTCAATGTCATTGGTCTCATAAAAAAGCTCATCTGTGCAAGCATGTTCTAAAAAGTGGAAAGGTGGGGAGGGGTGTTGGTGGTTCTTTTGTTTGTGAAAAGAGACAAGAAATAAAGCCTTTGTCTTTATCGAAGATACCAAAAGGAGAATACCCAAACGCCCGGACCCTTCAGTCTTCTTAAAGTAGAAAAGACACCCCAAACCCTCTAACCGCACTTGAGAACAGAGTTACCTTTCCCGTAGCCATTTCCTCATCAGTGGTCAACCTACTACGATCTTGAATGACCAGCTCCGCATGCACAGACTTCTCTATGATGCTTTCCTCCCCCTTGTGACTGGCCTCAGACCTGGTGCTGAGAAAGAAGCAGAAAACCGTTTCCCATTAATGGTACAGCAGACACAGTGGAACTCGGTTTCAATGAACTCGGATTCAATGAAAACTCAGATTCAACGGAAGAGGCTTGTATTCCCCAATTTTTTCATTAATAAAATCAATAAGAGTATGTCAGATTCAACAAACACATAAATTAGCAAGCCTGGATTCAATGAAGTCGCTTGCAAGGTGAACAGCCCCATTGATGTGGCTTCACTCATTTTTCTCCTGCAGTGTACCATATCAATTCCTGGAAACCATTCATGGTAGGCCTACTGCATTGTGAACCATCATCCACTTAGCCTATTGTTTATAACTTATGCGGTCAATCAGTGTCCCTCTTTCATACCACTACACATGTTACTAACACGTTTTAGACTTAATGTGTGTCGGGGTCGGACGAGCGACCAGCACATGCGAGTCGTGTGACTGTGAGTCCTTGAGTCTGTAGGGACGGGCACAAGCAGTCCGGGGGTGGATATGTCAGTAGAGAAAAAAATGTCTTCGAGTTATCTTTTTTCCCTGGCTGCTAATCAATGCTACAATGATAAGCTAGTCTTGACATAAATCCACATAATGAATTGTACGTTGGACTGTGGAATTCTACATCGCCGTATGCTAGGCTCTACACAGCAACATAACTTGTCCGGCAAACAGTATGCGATAGGTGATAGATGACACAGACATGCAACTGAAGGAATCAGCCCTTTTGCACAGAGTGTGCCAGTGTGTGCTTGTTTGGTATGGCATCATAGAAACGAAAATGCATCTCATTTGAAACTAAAATACTTTTAGCTGAGAAAGTCAAACGCATCATGAATTACTTCTTAGACGCCTCTACTTATCTACACAAAAACCTCATGTTTGCAATAATGAACACTCAGCTTCAACAAAATTGAAGGTCAGCCTCGCTGACTTTGTTGAATCCGAGTTCCACTGTATTATAATTATAAATAATATTAATAATAATGAGAATAATACATGTGATACTACTACTAATAATAATAATAACAATAACAATAATAATAATAATAATAATAATAATAATAATAATAATAATAATAATAATAATAATAATAATAATAATAATAATTTAAAAAAATAAAAAATAATAACAATAACTACATTTGCATAGCGCATGTTCAAGCTCTAGAGCACATGCATGCACTTTACAGCTATAACCTGAGCAGACCCTAGAACACTTGGAAACATTCTCGGCTTTCCGGGAAGCAAAAGCATACAGTGCAAGCTGCCATTTTATATGTGCAAAAACACTTGTAACATGCTGACAAGATCTTATACCATCTATGACCAGGTACTCTTTTACACCTGGGTAAAGTGGGCAACATTTTTGTAAAGTGCCTTTCTCAAGCACAAAATGTCTGGCGGAGCTAAGCCTTGAACCCCCAACCCACACCCATGAGTCCGATAGCCTAACCTCTAGACTACTGACACCAAAAAGGGAAGATCAAATCAGATTGGAATCTAGAAGAGAAGAAGAAAATGATTGGGCAACATAGAAGAACAGAAGGAAAGGGGAGAGGGCGGGGGGGTTGTTCAGAGATATACGTAGTGATATACGTGAGCAATAAGGGTAACAGACAGACCAGTAGACAAAAGAAGAACCAGCCAGCAATATAGCAATCTCACCTTTGTTTACGTTCACGGATGCTACTTTGGCGAGATCCGTATGTCCGCTTTCGAGTACCTTGGGTGAGTTCCTCCAGTAGGCCAAGGTCAGGGTCCTCGCTCTCTGATGTCATTGACACCAGCCTCTTCAGCATACTCGCTTTAACTTCTTTCTCTGTTTTATACAGGACAGACAGGGAAGAAAAAAGTGCAATAATCATTGATACGCTGTGAGTTTTAACGAACTTTTCAACAATGTGAAATATTTCAAAATGCTGGATCTCTGAATTTAATGCCCATTTTTTATAGAAGAGAGCAAAAGGGGTGGAGAGTCTTGAAAGCTCCCCATACAACCCAGATTCAAGAATACTCCAATTGGATATTTGAATCAAGGTCATCAGCATTATACCCCAGTGAGGAGCAAAATGAGCTGATGACGCGTCCAGACTACTTTTTTGAAGTACAATCAAACCTGCTCAAATGGCCATCCGTCCAAGACAAGGGCCTGTGCAAACGACCACTTCCCACTTCGCTTTTGCTTTACATTATAACGACACTGTCCAAGAGGTTCGTCCATCTAAGGCAACCACTTTTCTCCTCGAAAATGGGTGGCTATCTAAAACAATTTCAGTTGTATTTCTTTTGCAAGGCTTAGAAAGAGGTAAAATCGCTTTGTGGATACTTCATCAATGATGGAAAAAATATTGTACAGATGAAAGCGATCTCGGATTCATCCCAGCAACTTGAGAAAACCTATCTATCTCGATTCTAAAATGTAAGAAAAAATGTAACCGTAGAAGTTTTAGACCCCTATCAGTTAAGAAATCATTAAGGAGGTGGGCGTTGACCCTGCCTGGGGTGAGAGGGATACAAAGTCCAAGTAGGCAGATGGAGATGCTCAATAAAAATTCTCTTCATTTGGGAACTGAACTCACATCTTCTCCTTACCATTGTCAAGCATCTAACTGTTACACCACAGACATCTGTTATTCAATGTCAGTCAAAACCACTGATGCGCTCAAGTAATCAGCTTCAAATAACCCAGTCATAACTATGCCCAGTAGGATGCAAAATCACAACCTAGCATCTCACTTTGGCTACACTCATTGACACCAACACGATCATCTTCCCCCATTTACAAACAAACAAATGAGCTATTGCTGCTGCCACTGCATTGGTGTTACTGCTACTGCTACTGCTTATAATAATAATAATAATAAAAATAAAAATAAAAATAATAATAATAATAATAATAATAATAATAATAATAATAATAATAACAATAATAATAACAGCATCAACAATAGCAGGCTAATTTTGATGATAATGATATACAATTTAAAAAAATAATATGACAATAAAAATGACAATATGAATGGTTATAATAATTAGGATGATAACAATAATACTTCTGCAAAAGCAGAAAGCTAGGGGCCACACCTTCCTCATCAGAATTGTCTTCATGTCCTTCCTCTTCATCCTGTTGTAAATGTTGGGTCAAGAACTGGGCAAAAGGCCCATTGTGAGACAGGAGCTCCTGGTATGTGCCAGCTTCCGTGATCTGGCCATTGTTCATGACGTAGATGTGGTCAACATGAGGTAGCCAGTGGATTCCATGGGTGACCAGCACGCGAGTCTGAAAAATAGGTCATCATACACGCCTGAGTTTGTTTTTCACCTTTGATTCAGAAAACATAACTGTGATTAATAAGAGATGTTTGAAAAGATTCCCTTTATTGTTTTTGTGAAATCTAAACAAATCACATCCTGCACAGAACCACACTGTGACAATACTATTTTTGTGTGGTAATTCTATGATTGAAAATGATTGATTTATGGTAAATATGTTACTTCTCCATGAACAAAAATTAAGTAATCTTGAAGTGGGGCCGCTTCAAACCCGCCTTTGAGGACCAATCCAGGCTGATTTAAAGAGATGTTTGAAAAGCAAAATTTTCACATAGAGAAGTGAACTGAAGCTATTTGCTTGACAAGGCAAAGAGCCTAACAATTGTATCAGAGATGATGGTGAATTCAGTCTAAAATACATCAATTTTAAAACATATGAATTTAAAAAAAAAATTGTTGCTCTGAGGAACATACATTTTAGGAAAAGTTACCTTGCTTTTAATGGCAAATGTAATTGTGGGTGTTTTACGCCCTATCAACACAATTTAGATCATTTAGAAGGTAGGCTGCTTCCACGATGCCTGACAGGGCCACGGTGGCTGAGAAGGATACAACATCCCAGCAAACAGATGGAGATACTCTATAATACAAAAATATCTCTCCACATGGGAATCCTACCCATGACTTCTGCATACGATGGTAATAAATCTAACCATCACACTACAAGCACCAGTGAAATAGGTATAATATACTCTGATTCTAGAGAATAACAGATACAGAAAAAGCTTTCAAATTTTTTTATTCCACTTAGAAACATATAATCTTTAGCCAAGTGTGGCACCAAGACAAAACCATGGCTAATTGTTTGTTAGTGAGCTGTGGATAATAAAATTGAGAGCAGTGTATTGAATAACACCATCACTTAATAGAGCCACCAGCACAACACAACCATTTAGTCAAGTTACCAAAACAGCAAAATCATTTAGTCATGCTTCTTTTACTTCCGTTGTCCACAATTCACACAAAAAAAACCCATTGCTCATTTCTTATGCTGTAGTGCGGTACTGGTACCAGGCTTACCTTGGCCTGAAGAATTCCTTGCGGGCCGATGACCTGGTTGAATATGTGTCTTCCGACATGGCTGTCTACCGCACTAAGTGGGTCGTCCAGGAGGAAGATGTCTGCGTCACTGTACACAGCCCGTGCCAGAGACACTCGTTGTTTCTGACCACCGGACAAGTTGATACCCTGAGGATGACAGCTTTATTAGAGTTCCTAAGATAATATTGCTGTATTCTTAATCTTAAAATACCATTTGGCCACTCAGGTGATAAAAATAATACCAATAACATTATTATTATTAATAATAATAATAACAATAATAATAATAATAATAATAATATAATAATAATAATAATGATAACAATGATAGTGATAATACTGATAATATCAACAACAACAATAGTAATAATAATAGTAATAATTTACCACCACTTACGATAATAGGTCTAATAGTAATAATGATAATAACAATACAAATAAAGTAATTATGAAAACAATGGTAAATATACAGCTGTTGCTTTTGCTTTTGCAGGTACTGCTGCAGCTACTGTTACTTCCTATTCTCTTGCTACTATTATTAAAACAATTTTGTTATCATTGGATGCCGTGGAAATCTTTTATAAAAATTCTTATAAGAAATTGAAAAATAAGTTAAGTCAGTTTTCCAGATGTTTCGCAAAAGCAAAACACAAACACTTCTGACAAAAACAACAACAACAACAGAAGAAATGCAATGAAGTCTGGAATAGATACATAAATTACAGTAGAGAAAGGAACCATCATTCTACCTTTTCTCCTATTTCTGTCTTATCACCAGCAGGCAATATTTCCAGGTCTGACTGTAAAGCACAGGCACGAATGACTCTGTCATAGTAGTCAGGATTGCAGGACTTTCCGAAGAAAATGTTCTCCCTGATTGTGTTGTTCTGGATCCAGGCTTGTTGAGGCACATAGGCAACGCTAGACTGGTGATAAAATTCAAATGATGATGATGATGATGATGATGATGATGATGATGATGATGATGATGATGATGAACGGTACTTATAAATGGTACTGATGAATGATTATGATGATGGTGCTGACAAAGATAATGAATTCCACTTACGTTGATGTTTGAGTAGCCTGTCAGTCGATGCATCTCACCAAGGACAGCGGAGAGGAGTGAAGACTTTCCAGCCCCAACGCTGCCAACTACAGCAACCAGCTGCCCCGGGCGCACCGACACGTTGATGCTGGGAGGGACAGTTTTTAGTTTTAGTAAGTGTTTTACGGCACTTGCAACACAATAAGGTCATGTAAGTGCTGAAGATTAGAGTTGATACAAGAGAGTAACAAACACAAAAAAGGAGAGGAGATAAAGATGATAGATGTTTGAGAGGAAAGAAGAAGCAAACCACACTACAGCACCCGCCAACTAGCCACAAACAGGATCGGATCATGGGATGGACATTATCATTGCCACACAACATAACGACAAAATCATCATCATCATCATCATCATTGCTTCATCATCATCGTTATCACTGGGGTTTCACCAAATTTTCAATGGTCTTAACATCAATGAGTCACATTTCAAGGACTTTAACTTTACTATACAGCGTATTAATCACCCCTTGTATTCCAGTAACCCCCTCTCTATGAGGATCCTAACTGTTGAATGTTTCACTTCAAAGGTTTCTTCATCCTCATCATCTTCATACACAACAAAAGTATCAGCAGTAACAACAAAAACAAAGGCATTATCATCATGATAAAAAATAAGAACAGACGCAGCAATAACAATGACAACAACAACAACAACAACAACAACAACAACAACAACAACAACAACAACAATGACAAAACAACAACAACATTAACAAAAACAGCAAAAACAAGCAGAAAAAACTTTGCTATTAAAGCTGCAAATAACAAGAAGAACAGCAGGAGCAGAAAGTACATGGCCCGGGACAATACAAAATAAGTTTGATATTGTAAAACTTAAAAAATACTAATAAAAAATATTTTAAAAAACCCAAATACGAACAAAAAAACACATAAAAAAACACATAAAAAGTAAAGAATCCCTTTCCTTTTTTCTCTTTCCCCCTTCATTACATTTGAGGAGAACTCACTTTTGTAGCGTCTTTAGTCCTTTCTTTTCCCAGGCAAAGTCTGCACTCTCTATTCTGACAGCTAAACCTGCCAAAAATGGTAAAAGGTAGAAAGAATTGTTTTCACATACAGAGGGGCCAGGTCTTAAATACTCTTTTTTTTTTGGTAAGTGTTTTACTGCACTCGCAACTGCATAAGGTCATATGAGCGCACA